ATGCAAACTTTCAGAAATATTCTGATCTTGTTTTGAGCTCATCTAGTCCAGATCTAGTCTGGACTCACTCAGACCATCTACTGACCTCAGAGTCTGAAGTTTGTAGTCTGGACTCTCCACAAGATCCAACAGCTGCTGAACATCTGGAGCCTGAAGGTTGTTATTGCTCAGGTCCAGTTCTGTCAGATGGGAGGGGTTGGACTTCAGAGCTGAGGCCAGAAAAGAACAGCTGATCTCTGACAAACTGCAGTTCTCCAGTCTGAATAAAGAATAAAAGCTGTGAGCTGAAGGTTCAAACTTTCTTTAGGATTTTTTTTTTATTTTGTATTTTTGTATCATCTGTGGAAAAAATCCACATCATTCAGTCCCCAAAGTTTACAGCTCAGTTTGTAATAAATGAATAAAATCAACGTCATGTTTTGTTGAAAAAAATACGAGTTAGAATCATAAAAAGTTCAATTAGAAACCTTCATAAATAAATTCAAAACAGACATGTTTGAGTTGAACTTTTGAAATGAATGAAACATTTCTAAATGAATCAGTTGTGAAGGATCAGTGAATGATTTTAGTTGGACAAACATAGAAAACCTCCAACAGCTGCAGTGAACTGACCTCAGAACCTCCAGTCTACAGTTTGGACTTTCCAGGAAACCACAGAGATACTTCACTCCAGAGTCACACAGATTGTTGTCACTCAGGTCCAGATGTGTCAAATGGGAGGGGTTGGACTTCAGAGCTGAGGCCAGAGAAGAACAGCTGATCTCTGACAAACTGCACCAGTATAATCTGAATAAAGAACAAAAGCTGTGAGCTGAAGGTTCAAACTGAAATCTGAAGTAAATGATTGAAGTGAACAGAATTAGTTTTACTGGATATCAGAGACACAAAAAATACAATCAATTCAAGGCCTAACATAACTGAAGGAATCATATCACCAACCGTTCATCCCACAGTTACAGTAAATAAGTAAAGTTTATTTATATATAGCCATTTCATAGATGTAAAATCAGAAAGTTTTTCACAGTAAAAGCAAGAAAAATGTAAAAGTTCATCTTCATAAAAAGTACTAATAAAAACAGGTTAGAAAACACAAATCAAAAACTAACAACTACTTAGCTATAGAT